TCCCCCCCTCACCCCTGCCGCCCACCCCCTCGTCTATTCCTGAAATGTTGCTTTCACCAGATGTGTTTTGCTCATTGAAAATTCAACGGATCAGGGGAGAAATAAATAATAAACAGGAAAACGAAAATAAACAGGTGATTAATAACTTGGATAATGATTTCGAAATGAACACGATCTCAAAATAAAAAAGAGTGATAATATTTTTGTTCTCGGTGGGAACTTTCTTCCTGTATTGGTGGTGTTTTGGGTAATTACGGTTGATTGTTTAGGGGGAAGGGGGGGACTTTGCGGAACTGATTTTTCGGTAACTCGTGTGCACGCAATTTCCATGCATGACATAATTGTGCATGTGGATGTACGGCCTCGCCTCGTGGCGGCGAAGGTCGCGGCGGTGGATAAACAAATCTTGTTTGAGTTGCAGACGGTTTTGTAATTAAAGGAGAGAGAGAGAGAGAGAGAGAGAGTGAGAGAGAGAGAGAGCGAGCTGATCTTTTGGGGAAATGAAGGTTTTGAGATCTTCGGGGGATTTTTGACATTTTGAGATTGACTGAGTCGTCACTGTTTGAAATTTTTTGACACGGTCATGACCTTTATTCATTTGTACATCCAAGTTACCAAATTAATATCCCCCAGGATATTCTATAAATCTCTTCTTATTTTTCTGGTTTTTAGAATTTTATCAATAGATGGGAGATGGGGGGTCACAATAATTTCTCTGCAGTTGCTCACATTTTGGACATTTAGAGATTAATCCAAGCATGAGAGTTCTTTTATCATTTTTTTCTAATTTGAGAATTTCGTTTCTCCTGTGTTAAAAGGAAACGGAAAGGGAAGGTTAAAATGAGAACTGGAGGCTAATTAGTTCGTGATAATGTCCATTTATTAATTCACTCATAAAAAATTCAAATATACAGATTAATGTAATCCAGCAATACACATGCAGCTCGACAACAATGCCCGAGAGAAATTGAACACGCGATTTTGACGTGTGTGATGTACAGCAATGACGGAAAATTCCACGGAAACGTATAATTCTTTAAATATCACAACTTCCGCGATGAAAAGTGTCACTCGTGGTGGCACGAGGGAGTCATACCCACTCTAACAAGCGTGGAAAGTTTTCTTTATAATCATAAGAACAAAAATAAATCAAATCTATTAAAAAATCCTTTCAAAATAAAAGAAACTGTGTTCAACCTGCGATAACTCGAGATCGGCAGAGTGAATTTTGAAAAATCTGGTGTCATTTTCAAGCCCCTTAACAACTCTTCAAAATGAGCTCTGATTCAAAGAAATCGCTGCATTCATTCCCGAGCAATCCGTCACTAATCAACCCCATTATTTCAACCTCCTTCAACCCAAACTCAGCCTCCCTCCACAAAACCATGATTATCTCTCAAACCCGTGGATTTAGCGCCAAATCTCACATAAACTTCTTTCTAGAGGAGAAACTATCTAACAAAAAATCCCTTATCACATTTTCCCCAGCCCCCCTCATCACTGAGATAATTCCATGTTCATCAACCCATAAAAATTGACTCATTCCATTCCCTCACGTTTTACCTCTCCTCAACCGAACTAATTACTCAATACACAAACATAATCAATTGATACATCATCTCATTCATCAATCCCCACCCGGCACCTCTCAACGCCTCAACCCCCCCCCCCCAAATCCCTTCGCAAACTCTCCCTCATTCAATTTTAACAACAACAGCAACTTGCTCGCCCCTCAGCAGCATCTGCGGCACGTGTCTCTCCAAGGTCTCAGTCTTTCCGTTAGATTCCTTGACGATGACCTTCGGCATGTCCTCATCAATGCCCACCAATTGCCTCGGCATCCCTGTGAGAAAGTAAAAAAAACAAGTCCAAATAAACCAAAAACCTCGGATTAAGTTGAGGATAAACAGGGGCGCGGGGGTGAACTATTTCCGTGAGTTGGGGTTCATCGACTCCTGGAGATATGTTCACGTGGTGAGAGAGAGGGCCCTCAGGGTTGATGTAACTTGGGGTAGCCTAGGGTGGAAGACAAAGCTCAAACTCAACTTACGGTGGGACACGTGTATTCGCGGGGGAGGAGGGAGGGGAATCGATTGCCCGAGGGGTGGGGATTACCAAGGTCACTGGCTGCCGCCCCATGGGGACAAGGGTATCAATGACCCCTCGACCTTCCTCATCGCACCCTTCGCAGATGCGCAATGTACGTCAGTAGGGCAAACGTACGTTGCCCCCGCAGAGGTTTTTCAACCCTTTGGGGAGGGGGAGGTTATCCGGGTGCCTTGGGAGGAGGGATGACGGATTGAAGGGGAGGAATGAATAATGAGGCGAGAGGGACATTTGCTGACGGTTTTTTTTTTAAGGTGCTATTGAGAGGGTCTTGGGCTGGGTTCGGTAGGTGATGGTGCGGTGAACTTCGGCAATATTGATCTTCGGGGGTGGATTGGGGAGTTGAGGCACTCGGGTGAGAACTCATTTACATTCAGGTTCGCTTCCCGGGGGTTTGGTTTGATGATGAAATATTCAGGGGAGATTAGTGAGAGTGAATTGGAGAAGGGCGGAGGGAGAGGGGGGGTGATTGGTTGGGATTGGGTTTTTGTTGGTGGGGTGACGGGTGAATGGAGGTGTGAACGGTGGGTGAAGTGCCAGGATAATGATGGACTGAGGATGTTTGGAAGTGCAAACATGTTGGATTTCGGGGGAAGGACAAGTGTCAGTAGGTTGATGAACCGTCGTAGTGACGGTATTATTTTTTAATGCGGGGAATACTGGAGGGTGTAACGGAGTTTCAAGGTTTTGAGTATTTTATTTCGAATCTCGATCTCCGTTATGGTCTCTGTGCCCTTTAATCTGATCCTTGCGAGCCTTATTTTGACCCTTGAACCCTGGAAATCCTCTTTCAACCAATCATCGACTCAACGTTCATCATCAAAAAACCGAAAATTCAAATTAAAATAACTCATCCGTTCCGTCAAAAGCGGCCCATCAATTCACATCCCAAAATGTCAAAAATCTGTCTTTGGAACTCATCACCAATTGCCTCATCAACGAGCGAATGAAGAGTCGTTTAATCAACGACAGTCATCGAGCGCCGTTCGGGCGTATCAACGTGTGAATGCGATTTTGCCCACGACAACAATGCCAAACCCACCGAGTAGAGAATTCCCGGCTATTCCAGGAAAGACGAGAGAGAAAGAGACAGAGAGAGAGGGAGAGAGTGAAAGAGAGATAAAACCCGGAGAAAGAGGCAAAAATAAAAGCGACGGGGTGTGATGTAACCAGAGACAACTCTTAAGGGTCGCACGGAAGTGTGTGTTAGGGGCAAGGACCGGCCTTGACTATACGTACGGCTCTGCCAACACGTTCGATACCGAGTGGAGGTCCACGTGCCCTCGCTCAACGCTCATGCCTCCCTCTTTATTTTTCCTCATTCTCCTCTTCTCTTCCCCCGTTTTGTGCGCGAGCAGCCGTTCAGTCGACTCTCCGTCCCTCGCCGGCTCTCTTTCGTGAACACAATGTGTCATTTATGCGGAAACTCGGTGGTGAATTTTCAAAATATTTCGGGAGGATAAATCTGGGGAAATCGATCTGGTAAATATTTTGGCAATTTTTCATTCATTTACTCCGAAATGCAGAAAAAAAATGGAAGAAATGTCGGTGACTCAGCGCAGTTGACCAATATCAAGGAATTCAAGGGAGATGACGGGATTTTTGTGAGGACCTTTTTTGTGGGGCAGGGAGAGAGATACAAAAAAGACTTTCACAAAAATTTTCTCATCTCTCGTAGATTTGGAGATATTCGGCTAAAACTCGGGGGTGACGGGGTGAAATGGAATAAATCAAATTCGAATTCCCCGTTTGTCGGTTTTGGATCTGAATTGATTGCAATATCTCCAAAAGTATTCGCATTAGAGAAAAATGTCAAGATCATTTTTATACCTCTTGAAATATTTTTCGGGCTATTTTACATGAATGATGCAATTTTTTATTAAAATAATAACGAAATTAGCTAATTCGTAATTGTTACTGCACATATTTTTCCACAAATTTTGCAAAAAAAAATCGAGGCCCTGGACTCTTTTTAACATTATAAACGTTGCGGGGTAAACGAATAATAAACAATTAGTTTTTTCCACTAATTATTCGTTTTCAGACCTACATAATCGATCTTAAATGTATGAGAAATCTCATACCGAATGCCCGCGACTTAAAACTCACAGTAGTCTCCCGTTAATGCACTTTGTTTACGTTTCCGTTGAATTCTGCAAGACCATTGGTCACAGCACACATGTGCAGCAAACGAAATAACAGATTTTTCTTTATTTTTAACAGTGCCCAGTTGACAAATTACCCCTCAATACGTATCGCGAGACTCATGCGAATTGACGTTTGTATTTGCTGATAGCGAAAAATAAAGAAACGAAGGAGAGTTGGTATCGAAAATTACGATAATTAGGGGTACTACATAGACTATTTGCGGGAAAAAATAGATAAGTCAGCTGTAAATGCATTTGTGCCTGTGTTGATAGTCGAGTGTAATTTCGAGGTCAGGGGGGATTAATACTGATGATACGAGTGTAGTTGGCTGTACGTATCTGTCACAATGACGTGGGCATGAAAAATTGTCGGGTTTTTCGCGCTCAACGATAACGTTTACCTCGTCGAAATACTTTAACGGGGCTTTTTCGCGTTTTCCTTTATGAATTGTGACGGGTTTTTAATATTTTTGATGAATGGGCGATTTACCAACTCATTTACGAATTTTTAATAATTTTTTAAATGAAAGAATTGATTGATTCAGGTGGTTTCTTGTCAAATTGTTCAGTTTTTCGTGAATATCTTGAGATTGACGCGAGATAGTGGATTTTTTTATAGGATTTTTTTGTGGGGAATTTCACGAGCTATAAAAAAGGTTCTAATGGCAGTTCTGATATTTCGGATAGATTCCGAGATATTTGCGAAAAACGTCGACATTTTTTTCAGTTTTCACAGTAATTTTTGGGTGAATTCAATTTTCATAAAAATTGTTGGAGATGCAAAAAAATGTAAAAAAAAATTGTCCCACGGTTATCGTAAAAATTAATAATGAAGTTTAGTTGTTTCATTCGGTAGTGTAACTTGATTGAATCGTTTTTAAAAAGTTTTCCTTAATTTGGGTAATTGTAAGGAAAATAAATCAGGTAAAAATGGTGTTCACAAAATGGAGTTATGATTCATGGAATATACTTAACCCAGTGCCGGTGCTTTCCGCTTGACCTTGCGCGTCCAAACCTCGAGGCAATCCTCTAACGCTAAATTCCAGTGTTTGTCAAAGGCCGCCACGTACGCCTCCACATGTCCCCTTATGCCTTTTGCACCTCTCGTGTAGACCTAGTGCATTTAATTACCTCAGCATTGATTAAATCATAAAAACTACAGGAATTACATAAATTTTATTCAAATATTTTTCCACAATTAATTTCACCCGGAATACTGAGTCGACACAGTTGAAGAATGTTTTTTTACTTGGAGGTCAGGGTCAAATGACCCTTGAGGATGTGTAGGGTTAAGGGTCAAATGACCCTTTCCGATAGATCATCTGATTCAAAACCCTTAAGAGCATTCAGGGTTGAGGATCAAATGATCTTAAAAGCGTGAGGGGTTAGGACAGAGAAACAGAAAGGGCCATTTGCTTCGCTCATAACATTGACATAATTTAACCCTCAATTCCAAACCTTCTTAAAGATTGTTTGACTCTCAAGGCAAAATGAAATCCCAGGAAAATGACTATACAGCACGATTTAGGAACTATTTTTTTGTTTGTTGTTAAGGGTCGAACGACCCTTGAGGGCATTTGAAGTTGAGGGTTAAGTGGTCTTAAAAGTCTAACGAGTTAGACCAGAGAACTCATTAAGGGTCATTTGACCCTCAACTCTGCACGTCTTCAAGAGGGTCGTTTGACCCTCACGGCAAAATGAAACACCAGAAAAAGCGAATAGTCAGCACAATTCAGGGAACTTTTTATTGTTTTTCGTTGAGGGCCAAATGTCTTTGGGGGTCTAATGGGTCGAGGAATATTGATTGAAAAGGGCCGATTGACCCTCACCAAATTTTCCAATAAAAAAATCTCTGCTCTCATGACATAATCCCCTTCCCAACAAAAAAATCAAATGACAAAGAGAGAGAGAGAGAGAGAGAGAGAGAGAGAGAGAGAGAGAGAGAGAGAGAGAGACTGAATTATCCAGATAAACCGGAATATCAAAAAACCGATTATTTACAATAATTCCAAGGATTCGATCAGCAATTACAATAATGTCTCTCATGCTGGTACTATTCATTTGTACAGTTACGTATTGCCAGAGATATCAGACTGATATACCCGGAAGTACATACTCTCTGAAACAAGGCTCTCCTCAATGCCTCAGACACAACACAACAGCAATCATCAAACAAGAAAACGTAGTGGAAAAAAATATGAAAAAAAAAACAAAAAAAAAATGAAAACTTAAAACGAATAACAGTGACTGTGTGGCGATGTTATCGCGGAATCAGCGGTACAATTGAATCTGTCATCAGCGGTTTTGACGTTGAAATTAATTTTCGAGGGGGAGGGGGAAGGAGGTGATCCCCTTGTCAATCGTACGATCAATGTTTTATCCAGTAATGGTTTAATGGGTCACGACCTCGTGACTGTCGACGTATATACGTGAACGCAGTGGCCTTGAGCCGAAGGCCAGGCTGAATGTCACGATTAAGTGTCTATGATCCAATGGGTGTCGAAAAAAAAATATTCCAGTTTTATCGTTTAAGTTGTCGTTTTTTTTTTAGGAACTATTCGTCGGAGGAAAAACTTGAATATTCTTCGCGGTGATGATGTGGAGACAATGGGTTGGGGGCTTGCATGTTCATGATGATGGAGATGATTTTTTTTTGGGGGGTTGGGAAAGGGGATTAGGGAATTGAAGTTGAAGTTGATTTTTTGGTTCGAGGTTTTGACGGGTTTTTGAGGAGTATCGAAGAATGTAAGAGAGATGGAGCAATTTTTGTCGGAAACTTTTTGTAGGAAATTTTAATAGCTACAAAAATAATTTTCTGCCATTTTTGTCTAAAGTCAATAGTTTTTGAGATATTTACGAATTTATTCAGTGACAAAATGGTAAAATAGCCAATTTCACTTGAAGACTGTTGACTTTTTAAAAAAATATCTCGGAATCTGCGGGGAATTGCGATATTTTTGTAGAAGTGAGTGAAATCTTCGAAAGGTACGACTATTTACCATAGATTCAAAAAGATTAACAAAAAATTGAGAATTTGAAGTTGAAATTGATTTTTTTTTGTTTCGCCACTGAGTTTTGGCTAAATATCTCCGAATCTAAAAAAAATAGTGAAATTTTAGTTAAAAACTTTTTTGTAGCTCTCACTCCGCTCTATAAAAAACGTTCTAGCAAAAATTTTCCCATCTCCCGTAAATTCCGAGATATTTTCCAAAAAGTTGCTCCGCTGATTTACCACACCAAGTCATTGATTTTTCTTCCATGACAGTAAATTCATCCATCTGCAGAGCTATTCACAAAAAAAAACAAACTTGAAGTTGATTCATTTTGCATCAACACGTCGGGTTGGCGGATTAATTCAAATTCCAGGTGTTGAAGGGCTGTTACCTGACATTAATAGATCATAACAACTGTAATGAACGGCGTAAAACCGCGCTAGGCGAGCTTAGAGAGCGGTGATGACTAAAAAATCGCCAGTAAAAAAAACATTCGAAGGTCAGACGCACCGGCAATCTAGCTGGAAGGATTTTTTTCAAAGATTTCCGTTTCATTTTCAGCTTTTTTTTGCTCATTTTATGGACGACTGGAGCCGTAAAAATATTCAACTGTGGCCATAATGCTGCGGCCTTGGCTTTTCAATTCCGTATTTTTCAATAGTTGTGGCGATACCAGAACAAATAATATCGTTTAAAGGAGTTTTGAAGGCATCAGTGCCATCTCAATACACAATAATTCGTCGAGGAAGTGTCAGTCAAGACGTCCACGTGTTCTCTCGAAATAAAGTTCGGCAACTAATGCCGATATTGCGCCTAAAAATACTCTCGGTCTAGTAAATAAACTCTAAAGAGGATTTCCCCCAGAAAAAAATTTCCGAATGCCACCTTCGGTGGAGGACATCATTCTGCTATATTGAAATTGAATAATTTTACCTAGTTGTCGAGTCTATTTGTGTCGCTAATCAGAGTAAACAGGGAGCCCATAGATCACGAGTTACCGATAAAAAAAATATTGAAACTGACAAGTCGACACTAATATTCCCCCGTCGTTCAGTTTATTTATCTCGAGTTCCCAACGAAAAAATAAAAATAAAAAGAGACTACATTCTTCCGCCGTTAGACAACATTTTTACGCTCATTTTTATAGTGTCAGGCATAAAGATGAGAATGCCTCCGTGGAAATGAAAAAATTATGCCCTGAATTTACCCTGAAATATCTTGACGTCGAATATTTTCCGGGCCCTCGAGATTATCTCACGTGATATGCAGCGAAAATCCTCGGGAATTCGGGGCGTTTCAATTTGCGGACTGTGACCTTGCCTCGGAATCATCAATTTTCAGGAAGTTAGGGGGGAGGAATAGCGTCAGAGACGTGAGTTCCACTTGCTCATGGGGTGAGCCGTTGTCATGGGAACGAGTGTTGACCTGAAGATTTTGCCTTTCTCGAATCCCTTGAGAAATAAAAATGACAGTAACTGACTCACCTTAACTTTCGTCTTACTTTGCATACAGTGATACAGGACTTGGAGGGGTCCGGATGCATTTTGCATCTTTCCAAGGATATTTTTGTACTTCTCTATCGATTTTTCCCGCTTGTTTCCTTGAATCGGCCCTGAAAACAGTATAAAAAAGGAGTTTTTAAAGAATAAAAACACTCGAGCGCAAATTGGTTTACGAATATCTCGAAAACTATTGGGTTTATGGAAAAATATTATAGAACATTTTTTGTGGAGAATTTCATAAGCTAAAAAAATTCTTTGATACATTTTTGGCTAAAACTTATAGTTTTCGAGATATTCGTAAAATTATCTGTACGAATTTTCGATTGAAATAGAAGGAAACGAAAATTGAATCTAGATTAACTTGAAAATATCTCAGAAAATATTAGATTTATGAAAAAATGTTATAAAACAATTTTCGTAGAGAATTTCGTGAATTAAACATGTGACTTGTGACTTTTTTTGATAAACCCAATAGTCTTCGAGATATTTACGAAAAACTTCACGGAAACTTTTGATAATTTCACAAATTTTCCGAAAAAACACGTGTGATTGAAAAAATGGGGGCTTTTAATCATCTCTAACAGTTTCACATTATCAGAGGCGGATTATCTAATGCCGATCTCTAGATACCAATCCACCAGAGCTTATCTCGAGAGTCCAGCACAAGACCGCTGTTCTTCTATCCAATTTTTCCACTCGGCTATCGTTTCCTGGCTAATACGAATTTACCCTCGTGCCTCATCGTCTGTACCGAACCAACAAATCATCGTTCATCCTTGATGAAGTCGGGACGTGTCCTCTGGGTTAAGACCGTATCTTCTTGTGTATTTTCTGGAGGAACGTGGGACGTTCGTCGATAATAAGCTTTCAAAACTACGAGATTCGTGAGGAATTCATTTTTCAAAATTGTCTGTGTCTCCAGAACTTTTCACTATTGACATGGCATTGTCAACAGCTGCATTTGAATTTTTTCAGTAATATTCATTGTCATATGAACCTGGAAATCGCAATTTCATTGAGTATTCCAGAAATTGACTGATTTTTCAGCAACAACGTGTTTGGGAAATTCATGTGGATTAGTCGTTGTTAAAAATTTTATGATTTTTTATCTGAAATTTGAGGAGTAATTTTCCAACAGTTATTGACCATTTTCTCAATATCATTTTTTACTTTTAGTCTATCTCAAACCGTCAAAAATGTATTTAGCAAACAAATAAAAATCGCTCGATCGTCAAAAGCCCCCAAAGACAAATTAAAAATCCCCAAGCCCCCGATACCGGTGGCCACGACCATCGATACATTCCCGCAGTTTTATCGCTCATAATGACTAGACTCGAGATCAACCGTGCCAATTGGCTTTCTCCAGTAACTTTCATCCTGAGCACTCGCGAGGAGTGCCACTGCACTCCCCACACGTCAACCGGCCGTCCAACGGAGACGGAAAATCCAACTCGTGCCTTCTCTTTTTCCCCTCTCCATTGCCACTATTTTTTTTCATCTCTCTCCACCTTTCTTTGTCCCATTCGTGGGCTCATGCACTTTCACTATCGCCTGTACTGATCCAATTGTAAGTCCACATATTCACGTATTCGTATCATCATGACTTTATCAATCAAAATGAAAAAAAAATGATTCCAATTATTTCCAATATTTTTTCTATTATTTCTACTAATTTACTTTATTTTTTCGTAAAAAAAGAATTCTCAATTCTTTATTTATCCTAACAATAATTTTCATTAACGAATTTAATAATCTCTCTGCATTATAAAAATCGAGATTAAGACTCCAGTTCAGGGCCAAAATAAGGGTCATGTAGGGTATAATGAGGGTCGGAATGAGGTTCACGAGGGTCATGGGGATCATAGGGGTTAACTAATCCAAAAGGAAAGAATGAAAAATTAATAAAAATTCACGATGATTCGGCATTTTTTCAATTTTCTGAAGGATTAATCAGCCATTCGTCCTTCAGGCGATCGAAATCATTGTCACTGTTTTAAAAAAAAATTCAAAACCTCGACAATACTTTGAGCCAGCGGTAGATAACGTTCGTCCCTTGTAAGCATTCACGCGCGTTCTTGTGTATAAAAGAAAAACCGTTAGGTTTGCACGCGCGAATGCGAGGTGAAGAGGATGAAGAAGAAAAAAGAGGAGGGCAGCGTGGGGTGAGAGAGGACGTAACCATGTAGTCGCTTACGTCATTCGAGAAATCAAATCTCTTATCTCCACTTTTATTGGTTTTTTTTTCCAAAAGAGGAGGGGAAATAAAAACAATGCGCAATTGATTGTCATTTTTATTTTTATTCGTTTGAGGATATCCGAGTATCTTTTACAGTTTCGTACAGACCACACTGTAGATTCAATCATTTTCAATCATCCAATTTGTCAATTGAACTGCGTGAGAAAAGTTTGAAAAAAATCATGAATATTCAGTGTCATTAAAATTATATTTTGCACAGAATTATTATTTTTTTCAACGTCATGATATGAAATGTTAAGATATGATGTTTTTAAAAAATATCTGTGCGTGCAAAATTCTGGCAAATTTTTTCATAAATATTCGCAAAAATAGCTATTTTCGTCACGAGGCCGAAATAGTATATTATGTCATCAGGCGATAAAAGTATTATCTGACGAACGTGACTGTATAATCCGAGCCGAAGGTGATGATCATCTCAGGCAGATATAGTATGTTTCGTCATTAGGCCGAAAAAAAATTTTCATCACGCTGTGACCAAAAGTGAACTTTTCGGCACGCTCCGCGTGCCTAAAAGTCCAATTTCCGCCACATTGTGATGAAAAATATTGTTCGTAACTCGTGAAAAAATNTTTTCATCACGCTGTGACGAAAAGTGAACTTTTCGGCACGCTCCGCGTGCCTAAAAGTCCAATTTCCGCCACATTGTGATGAAAAATATTGTTCGTAACTCGTGAAAAAATGTTTTTTAGCTCGTGGGATTATATGAATCGCCTTCGGCTCGTGATATAAACCTCCCACTATTTCTGGCGAATGAGTTTGCAGTCCGAGCCGAAGGCTCGCACCGCGTAGGGTCCCTAAAGCGCAGCCTTACGGCCGAAATGACGAAGAAGTATATTTCAGAGCGAGCGCCGGGGTTTCTTACTCGCGTGAAGTTGGCGTCCGGGCCGACGGCCCGGCCAACCACGCGCCTGAAACAACCCCAGGCACTAGTGCGCGAGACTTTTCCGCAGTGATTTTCACTTTTACGTGTTTAAGGAAGGGCTAACGCCAATCCCCGGATGAGGAAGAGTGAAGAGTAGAACGAAAATAATACATAGCCCTCCGTGCAAAGTTGAGATATTGCCCTTTTTTCGCAGTGGGGATGTTTATTTTAGGTAATGGCCGCGCGGGGGGTGGAGAGGAAGGGGGGGGGCGAATGGGGAAAATGGGGGGACGTGAGAGCCAGGTGAAAACATGGCTGATAACCGGGTTTTGCATCGCTCCGGGTTTACCCGCAGATGATCCCCAGGTTGAGTCGCGCTGGGGTTCAATGTCCTGGCGGGCAGCGCACCCGAGTGAGGCGGATGGACAAGTACTGGGAGTGTAACGGAGAGAGAAAGCATTGCCCTCTCATCGTGCAAAACTCGGGCCTCTTCCACATATTACCTTGTCTCACTCTCGTGGGTTTCGCTTTGAACTAGCTGTAGGTACTGTTACTTTCGCGACGGGGCCCTTAGATCACCCGAGAGAGGTGGTGGAGGTGGATTTGCCTGGGGTAGAGATTTATTTTGGTTTTTCGGAGAGGGTGGGGGGGGGGGTTTTT